TGCGGTAACTCTTCAAACACGGAGCAAATCTCCAAGTCTCCGTGTGAGACGCGTGATCCGTTCTCGAAGGGCATATATATACGGCGAGCGTTAGACGCATCCTCAATTCAATTTCTTGCTAGCGGATTTTCCATGCCGTTTGAAAGCACCGCAATTGTATTCGACTGCCCCCCCGGCAGCAACAAACCTGCGTGGCCTGTCCTGAAGATGACGGCAAGGCGCTACTTTACCACCGAATCCGCCGCCAACACCGAAGGATTCAGTCTGCTGTTTTCCCATTGCATTGGGGGGCGTACGTTCACGTTCCCCTGCGCTGCGTTGACTTCACCCTCATGACACCGCACGTCCCACAGATAAAGAGCAGTGGGAGCCGGTGATAGAAGAGATATTCCGGCGACAGGAAACCAAGGCGCCGCAGCAGCGCGTGCGAGAGGCATGGGCGCTCGATCGCCAGGATCATGGCGAGGCAGCGATTTTGAACCGCGAGGCGCTGGCAGACAGTCAGGAGATGGGCGTCTGTGCGTATTTGGGTAACTCCGAATCAGGTTGATATTAATCATGTTCCCGTTTTTAGCGGGGTACGAATGGGGGGCGGCCATTGCTGCTTTCGCGCGCTCCCCCTTACTACAGGGGAGGCGGATGGTCGGCATTGGGCATTCCGCTGGGTCGGGCGCAATGTAGGTGACTTCATCCAGTTCGTGCTCCCTCAAATAACAGCAATCACAGTGTCCTGTCGATGAAGGATATTGCACTCCAGGACGCTCCGTACGCGTCCTTCGTGTTGATCGAGCCGACGCTCACGACGCCCGAGGTGTTTCGCCGCTACATTGCGCCCAGCATGCCGCAGGTCGTCGCCGCAATCCTCACACGCCGCGAGCAGTGGGCCTCCCGCGCGGACGCGCACGAATGGATGAAGCGACGTGCGCCATGGCGCGCCTGGGATGCGCGCGTGTTGCGCCTACTCATCGTGTGTACCCTCCTCTTCCCTAACACAGCCTCGTTCATACAGTACGCTTCGCCTGCCAGGAATACGGGCTCGAAGACACACCCAACGGGGCGGTGGCGCTGAAGTGCGATAGACGCCACGAAGCGCATGCGTACCCCGAGGCGCCGCCGCACTTCGCCGCCGTCGACGAAATCGAGCGCATGTGCGACGCGGTGCCGATACATATCGTATGGGCGACGCGGAGTCCCCTCTCGTGCGTCATATTCTCCGCCCTCAGATTCCATATATGCTAACAATGGAGGCACAGGCCGCCGGTCATGCGAGCGGCGCTCACCGACGTCTCAGCAGGCCGCACGATGGCGTCGGTCACGCACCTGGAGGGCGGGCATCTGGTGAGTCGATTCCATCCTCGGGTGGTTTCCACGGGTTGATGAGTTTTAGCTCGTGCAGGAAAATCCGGACGGCGTGGCGGTCGCGATTTGCAATGCCCTCGACGGTGTTGGTCCCCACAAGACTGTGAACGTGCGGCACAAACTGTAATAATACTTGGATGAAATGTTATGGTCAGGAGGACAAAAGGAGTAGACGCCCGATATCACCCGATATTATTTACTGTGATTTACTTGGACAGTTCACGGGGGGACGCCTAGTCCGAAATCAGCTCAACTCGACATTTCGAGAGGCAGACATAAACCTTCAAGTATTCGGAGGATCGAATCCGTTACCGTGTATTTTAGTCAAACTCAAGATTATGCGGAAATGAGATCTGAACTAGCACGCCGAACCTAGTGCGTTTGCAGGACATCTCCATCGACTTCATTAATCTTGACTTCGAATTTCTCCGAGAACGCGGAAATTTACGTCTCGTCGTCCACCGGCGGCAGCTCGTCCGCCATCTAGATCTCTCTCAGGAACGTCTCGTCTCCTTGAGGCCCCCGTCGACATCTTGGGGTTTTGGCGCAGCGGCCCCAGTCGAACTCGGCTGACCCTTCCCTAAATGACGCGGACGATGTGGAGTTCCAGACTGCCGCCGCTGCGTGCCACGCGCGCGACACTATCCGCTCACTCCTCTCCGTACGCCCGAAGACTCTCGTCGTCCTCGCCGTGTACCGTGATGCTGACGGGCCCAATGGTGTAGTCGAACTGGGTGACGAGCGCACCAGAGTCGGGGCTGCGGCGCAGGGCCACCGCCTTCTGTCGCCTTTGGCGGTGCAGTAATCGTGGTGCACCAGCGCACGGAGGAATCCCCGCTCTCGCACGTGAGAGCGTCTCGGTCATCTGGGTTGTATCGTCAAGTGCGCGCAGCGTATGCATGGGAATGGGACTCACTGAGGGAGAGGGCCCCGTACGTGGCGCATGAGCGCCGGTGATCGTCATGGCGCCAATTGATTGACTGACATTGGATTGAGCAATAATATGAGCTGAGACAGACAGGCGGAACAACGCTGGAATGCGATTTTATTGAGGATGCGGGCGCACTAGATGCCGCTCGTTATCTCTGGTGACAGACCCTCGGGAGAAGGCGCACCTTTAAATCGTCGCATGCCCGGGCCCTGAGGGCCGCATATTCATCAGAATTATACAGTCTCAGCACCGCGAGGCGCTGCTGTACCAAATCTGCCAACCGCTGGCACTGGACGTATATTTTCGAAGCCTTGAACGCCGGAGTAGAGACGTGAGCATCGAGCCTTCGTAATGGTTCTTGGATGCGGGAGGAATGCCGTAGTATACCGAGGTGGCGGACATGAGTGCGACGAGAAATGTCAAGTGGTCGCGTATATGATCCTCTGGATGCAATTGCGAAGCTGAGACGACGGCAAGGAGAAGGCCTTTCTTGAGTGCCGACGGGAGCCAGCGGCAGCCAGATATATCGCTGAATATCAGTTCCAGGGCTCCCAAGCACTTCTCGAGTGGGAATCACGACCGCAGAGCGGGGAGTTTTAGCCAGAGCACATACAGCCGCGGTGAGAACGGGAACGGTATCGTGGTCGCGGAGGGCGATGAACAGGGGGTCTAGTTCTCTGCACATGGGATCACTCAGGAGACTTCGGTATCCATCCACCACGAACATGAGAATAGCGTGCAAGAAATAGATGTCCCGGGAATGAGGTGCTTCGCAGGTTTCGAGCACGTAAGACACTTACTGGGGAACAAGAATAGAGAGACGGTCCAGGGCACCGACGCCATCGAGGAGCTCCTCAAACGCTGTGGAATTGGAAAGACCATGGCGGCGGCGGCCAACACGCCACAGAGATCGCGAGCCTGCCACTCGCGCAGCTGTGAAATGGAAGCCGGGCTCAGCACGGATAAACGGAGCCGCCCCCGTTTTGTCGTGCAGCCGGCCAGCAAAGAGTAGAAGCTGGTGCAAAAGCTAGCGTCCGAGTCGTCGAGCTGCCCTCTGTAGTTGTAGAATTTGACGGAGCTCCAAACACGGGGCCACAAGTCCGGAGGGGGAATGGAATGATCCTGTAAATGAGACGCAGAATACCCCCAATCTGGCGACGGTCAGTGGTGTCGACATCTGGCACTCTGGGAAGGTAGTTGGGAGCCTTGAGAGTGTATAGGACTGGGATCAGGGAGAGGGCCTTGTCCTCGGGAACGGCGTCCGCCGCCGTCAACAGACGTTTGACATCTTTTGTAGAATGATTTGGGGCGCACGCAGCATTTTGCGAGCCTCTAGAAATAGACGCTGGAGACGGGGGGCTGCGTGGGGGATAGACCATACGCGAATGGGCTGCGGCAGCTCTGCAAGATTAATATTGCTCAGGCGCATCTCGGTGCATCGTCTTGGCGAAAAAAGTGACAAGGACACGTGATGTGCCTCGCGGCGTTATTCAACTCAGTGCTGACGCGTTGACGGTTGACGCGCCGATCCACAGTGACGTCACGTCCTCCGCGCCAGCCCTGCCATGCGCCCGCTGCATCATAATCACGTGGTGCACACCGTACGCCGCGCCGTCGCTCCCAGTACTCACCCTCCACCCTCCACACTCGCGCCCACCCGCCTGCCACGCTGCGCCCCTCATCTGCATCCCTTCTCGGCTCGGCTCGGCTCGTCTCGCCCGATCGCAATGCCGGCCTCGCCCTCCGCGCGTCCTCCGTTTGCACGCCCGTCGGCGCTTCAATCCCACCGCCGCCGCGCATCCCCCAGGGGTCTAGCCTCTGCGCGGCGCGGTGCACATACGTCCAGACCGCTCCCTCCGGCTTCCGCGCCGCAACGCAGCCCTCTCTCCGCCCCCGCGCTTCCTCTCCTTGTAAGTTGCCCGTATGTACCCCCGCACTGCGCACACATGCACGCACGCCGCCCGTGTACGGAACAGACGGTTAATTTGCATTTGCCCTGCGATGTGTATGATACACGCCCGCCCGTGTCTCGCTGCACCGAGTCCGAGTCTCACACGGCACGCGTGCGTACGTAGAGGAGCGGCGGAGCGGGCAGCGGGCTTGCGCCTGTCGCGCGACGCGGAGACGCGTCTGCACACGGGGATGGCACACAACGCATCCACATCGAGCGCGTGCGAGACGCCGTGGCGATGATTGAATGATTCATGCAGGACTAGAATTACTCGGGGAAGGTGGGGGCTCAACTCCTCCCGAAGGCATGCCGTAGGGGTTAACTCTTTCTTTTGACTGGTCCACAATTCGGTGGTCGATAACAGGTGCGTACAAACACTGGCTAAAATCAAACCTAGAGAGCCTTCGAGGATCAGTGGGGATCGTCGATCATCCCTTTCAATTCAGATGTCTCTCTGCAAAGAATGTTCAGGGAAGGTCGGGCGTTCGAATGCTCCCGATACATGGAGCTGAGTGGTCTCTCTTTGACCAGTACACTCTATGGCAGCGAAAAGAGCAGCATAAATTCAGGCCGAACTCGATGATAGCCAGCCTTCGAGGATCAATGGCGATCATCTCATATGAGCTCCGTGAAAATGTTCAGGGGAAGGTGGGGTTCGAGTCCTCCCGAAGGCATATGGGGATCGAAAGCATAGATTTTTTTAGTCTGGCAACAATATTGGAACAGAGCGCAAATGCAGGCTAAAAGCAATGTCATACAGCCTTCGAGGATCAGTGGCGATCATCCCCATCAATTCATACGGCGTCTACAAAGATGTCCAGGGAAGGTGGGGGTTCGAATCCTCCCGAAGGCATGCTTGATTCCATCTGTGGTCATTCTTTTGACCCAAGTAAATCTGTGTAGCATGAACACGGGTGTGAATGAGCAGTAGGCGGCCTTCGAGGATCAATGGTGATCATCCCCTCAATTGTAAAATCCGCGGAAGTTTCAACGTTCAGGGGAAGGTGGGGTTCAAATCCTCCCGAGGGCATGGCGGAGCTGAAAGGACTTTTTTTGACCGGTACACACCGTGGCGAACAGAACCAGCATAATGCAGGCTAAAATCAGAGCCAGGGAGCCTTCGAGGATCAGTGGTGATCATCCCTTCCAATTCATGTGATTTGTGAATGCAATGTTCAAGGGAAGGTGGGGGTTCGACTCCCCCCACAGGCATGAACGCAATGGACACAATCTTTTGGCCGGGACTCGGTATCATTGTCGCAGCTGAACTTATTTAAATGAGGCTCTAGCCTAATCTCTTATAAACAGACGGTACAACAATATTCGCTCGTACCTCGCGATGTTGTAGCTCCAGCCCATTTCGGGTCTACACCGTTTTACATGAATACTCACTTGCTTTGACCCAGGCTCTAAAATCTATCCTTCCAATCGACTCCCGCCCATGTCTCTAATCTCCGGCCGCCGCACCCACAATAGAGCGCCCACAACCCGCGCCCACAACTCGCACTCGGAGCGCCCACAGCCCCTTTCGGCCTAGCGTGGGACAAGCATCAACAAAGGAGCACAGCCACGCGCCGTGCGCTATCTTCCTCTTTCTTTCACGCCCCTCGCTCGGCGTCCTCCTCAGCGCTAGACTCCAGAAGGAACGAGAGCGCTATCTATATATCCAGCTTTGAGGCTTGCTGCTGGTCTCTTGGGCGATATCGACTTGGCCTTGGCTTCGGGTGGTGCGGCATCGGCATCCGTATCGGAGGGAAGAAGAGAAAGGAAGAAGAGAGAAGAGGAGAGAACGAGACAGAGACGACCGGCGAAAGGTGCGTTCGTTGCCGTTGTGTGCGCAGGGGATGCTGACTTGCGTTTGTGGGTAGACGACATCCCCCATTTTCTCGGGGGCTCAGGACATCGACGAGGACGAACGGAGGCAGCGTCAAGCGTATACGAGCAGCAATAGGTGCGTCGTCTACACTCTCGGCTTGCCTTGCGTCGATGCTGACTGTGGTGTAGTATATCCGCATACTCGGGACACCACATTTTCGGGGTCGGGACATCGACTTTGGATCCTGCTATTATACGAACGGCAATCCGGTACGTCCGCTTTCCTTTTGAATCGCATCGTCACCACTGACCTGGCTTTACTTTGCTTTGCGCTCAGACCACACTCGCATCTCCGCGAATACGATACCGGAGGGGTCGGAATAGGATCCCGCTACCATACGAGGCCAACTGGGTGCGTCTCCTCCCTCTCCCTTCCCGTCCCTCCCGCTCCCCGGCTGATTCGTTTTGTGTGTTTTGGGTAGACAGGGCCCGATGGGAGATGCACCCCGCCGCTCTTCCTACCCATCTTCACCTTCCACGTCCAACCGGGACAGGCACGGGGCCGCCGCGCCGGAGCCTGTTGGGCAGCGCACGGCAGCAGCATCAGGAGCAGTATACGAACGGGGGTGCGACGAATGGGGGGCAGCAACAGCATAGTACGAACGGGAACGCGAGCGCAAGCGGAAGCGGGCTAGGGAACGGGGGGCGGGTGACGGTGCCCCAGAAGCGCAAGATCGGGGGTGGTAGCGCGCGCGAGCGCGAGCGGGGCGGGGGCGCGGAGAAGCGGCGCCGCGGCGAGGGCGGAGAGCGACACCACGGCGACCCCCACCGACAACGACACGCCGGCGGGGTGGGAGAGCGGGACGGCGACGAGAACGCGATCCGGTGCCGCTGCGGCTCGAGCGCGGACGACGGCTTCTCCATCGCGTGCGACGTGTGCGCGCGGTGGTGCCATGCGGCGTGCTTTGGCGTCGTCGAGGGGGAAGTGCCCGAGGAGTGGAAGTGCTGGCTATGCGCGCCCGCGCAGGCGGGGAAGGATCCGCCTCATCCTCCCCTTCCTCATCCTGCGCTCACCGGGGGGGGGAAGACGTCGAGGAGAAGGGCGAGTGTGAGCGGGCGCCGCGGCACGACGGGGACGCCGCCCGCTGCGCACGTCGAGCTCGTGGGCGTCGGGACGGAGGGCGAGCTCGAGGACGAGCGGACGCAGTATGTGCAGATCGAGGACGACATCGTCCCCCTCGCGAGCACGCAGCGCAAGCTGCGCGCGTACGCCGCGCACTGGCGGGGCGTGTCCGCTTTGTCGCCCCCTACCCCTGCGCCGTTACTCTCTTACGGCGAGGGGGAGGCGCCGCAGCACACGCCGCTCGTCTTCGGCGCGCCGCCCGCCGCGCATCCCACTGCCCTGCGCCCCCTCCCTCCGCCTTCTACTTCCTCCTCGCTGGGGGTAAGGCCGCCCACATACACCCTCCACGCACTCGCGCCCGCCCCGCCGCGCGCTTTGCTCGCGCCGCTGCCCACGCTCATCACGCCGTCGTCGAGTTATTTGAAGGCGCCGGCGAACGGGTACGCGCACGCGGGGGTGCCGCGGCGGTTCGTACATCTTGTGGGGCCGCCGCTGGGGGTTGCGTTGGATGGGCGGGGGGTGGGTGCGACGGGAGAAGGGGGAGGGGGAGGGGGGAGGTGGGTGCGGCGGGGGTGTTGGCCGAATGCGGAGGTTAGGGCGTGGGTTTGTGGGGGGGCGGGTCACGGCGCGGGCGGCGAGAGTAAGCCAAGCCGTGCGGGTAGGGATGTGGACCGTGAGGAGGAAGGGCAGAGTGGTGGGAAGGAGGACGCAGAGGACGAGCCGCGGACGCGCTTCGGGATCTTCGCGACCCGGGCGCTGCGTGCGGGGGAGGAGGTTGTTGTTGGGTGGGAGTGGGACGATGGGAATGCGGTGCATCGGGTGGGGGAGGTCGCGGGCGGGGGTGGTGGGGGGTGAGTACTTTTCTTTTGGTCTTCATCTTGGGGTCCCCTGCTCGTCACTCTTCCGTTCCCCTTCCCGCCGTCCGTATCCCGAATCCTCGTCCAGCCTGCTCATTTGCAGTTCGTTTCCCCCTCCTTTCCTGTTCCATTCGGATTCTCTCCATCTCCATCATCGTAGGCGGTATCCGTCTCTCCCCCATCGCATCGCATCACATCCCGCCCTCCCTCCTTCCCTCCTTCGTTCTTCCTCCCTTCCTTTCCCCTTCACATCCGTCGTCCCTCATTCTTGTCACTATTCCCCTCCGCTCCCCTTCCTTCGTCCTTCCCATTCCTTCCCCTTTCATTCGATTTCTTCGTCCCTTCGTTCTATCCACTCCTTCATTCCCCGACACGCGCTGACGTCTTCTTCTTCTTCTCCAGACTCCCCGCCACCCCGACGCCCGCGCAACGCCACCTCATCGCGCAGCTCGCGAATATCCTGCATGCGCTCGGCGAGGAGGCGTGTGCGTGCGCCTCTTCCTCCTCCTCTTCCTCAGCATCCTCGTCTTCCGGCGCGCATCCCTCTTCCGCCGTCCCACCTCCTGGGGACGTTAAGCCGCATCCGTATCCGCACGATGAAGCAGGAGAGGGAGACGAAGACGGCGGGTGTGTGATCCGCGCGATGGAGCGTGTAGTGTTCCCGCCGCTTGCCCCGCTCGCGCCCGCCCACGCGCTTGTCCGGAACGGCGAGGAGTATGCGAATGCGTATGCGCAGTCAAACGCGCACGCGTCGACGTCGCGCTCGCCGTACCCGGAGATGATGGAGATGGAGCTCGACGTGGACATCGAGGGCGAGGGGGATGTGGACGTGGACGTCGTCGGCGATGCGGAGGTGGAGGTGGAGGCGGAGATTGAGGTGGATATCGAGGGCGAGGGGCCCGCGGCGTCTTCTTCACGACTCGCACCGATAGCGTCCTCCTCATTGGCACCACTACCCGCACCGGCAGCTTCGACGTCCGCCCCCGCCCGCACCCCCAAGCCGAAACCGAAGCGCTTGGCGGGGCCGGGGGTGCCGCCCCCGAGTCCCGAGGCGCCTGCGGTAGGGACGGCGTGGGTGGATGGGTATGGGTATGCGGCGGGTGCGCGCGCAGACGGGTACTACGTGCAGGGCGGGTACGAGAGCGCGTATACAATGGGGAATGCGCACGCTTCTTCTTCCGCTGGCTATCCACACTCTTCCCAATACCATCCTCACCATCCTCATCACCAATCTTATCTGCACCCACACCACTCCTCTGCTGTGTATGCGACACACGCGCAGCCCCACCCACACATGCAGACGCAGCCGCAGCGAAACCGCTGGGGCCCGCTGATCGGCGCGACGCGCGGCGTACGCGCGGCGGAGGGCGTGTGGGGGAGCGGTGGATGGGGCGGGGTCGTGCTTGTTGGGGGGGAGGGGGAGGAGGAAGAGGAGCTCCCGTATGCGCGCGCCAACGGATATGCGAGCAGGTCGCGCGCGAACGCAAACGGATATGCAAGTACGATCCGCAACGCATACGCCAGCACGTCGCACGCGAGCACAAGCGGGAACGCAAGCACGGGCGTGGGCGCGGGGGAGAAGCCGTACGCGGTGGTGGAACGTGCGGGGGGATGGGATGTGCGGAGGGCCGGTGGGACGGAGAAGGAGCGGGAAAGCGGAAGAGAGAGAGAGGATGAAGGTGTGTTTCTTTCTTTTTGGTCTCTCCTTCCATTTTTTCTCCCTTCCGTCCTCGTCCTCGCTATCGTCCTCGTCCTCGCCATCGTCGTCGTTCTCGCCATCGTCTATCGTCGCTCGAGCTACATCCTCAGCGCTCGCCGCGGACCGCTCGATGGACGACGCACGATTCCTTCATCCTCCCCTTCCTTCCGTTCTCCGCACTTCCTCCCTTCGCCCTCCTTCTGCATACTGACGTGCCCCTCTCTAGACACGCCCCGCGCCAAGGAGACGACCTGCCCTCCGAAGATGCGCAAGCGGTGGAACGCCGCCGGCGCCGCGGGGAGAGGCGCTTCCGTGGGACTTGCGCGCGATCCAGGCGCGAACGCGAGGGCGGGTAAAGGCAAGGGCAAGGCGCGCGCGGAGGCGATGGACGTCGACGTCGACGTCGAGGGCGAGGTAGACGTTACGGGCGAGGATATGGATATGGGTGGGGACGTACCGGGTGAGTCGTGCTCTTCGCTGTCTGGGTGGCATGGGCTGATTGGATTTGACTCATGTGTAGGGAGGACGTCGGTGAGTCGGGGAGAGCCGCCACAGCCGCGGCCGTTGACTTCCTCTGTACGCCCGCCCTCGCCTCCGCCTTCGTCTCGACGCCGGCCCTCGCTTCCGCCGTCGTTGGTACGCCGCCAAATACAGCCGCCACCGCCGCCCGCGCTGTCCATCGCCGCCGGACCATCGCCGAGCGCGAGCTTCGCGCGCC